GCCAGCAGCAGCAGCGAGCGTGGCCTCTGGAGCCGTGTGGATGACTCTCGAGGATGGAGGTGATGTCCCACCCTGCTCACAGCGAAGGTCATCAGATGTCTGATCATCGTGAAGGATTTCTGTCCTGATCGAGGCCTCTGAGCCGTTTTCATTTAACTGGGTTTGTTTGGACTTTCACAGATTTGGAATCAATTTAATGAAGAATTTGAGTTTGTCTCTATTTTATTTCAGTTTTAAGATTTTACAGATGTTTGTTCTCATTTTGTCGACTGAACGGCACAACAGCCCAGTTCTCTGTCAGCCTTTAATCTAAATTCCCAAAGTCAAGGCAATATTTTTATATTCAAGACAAAAGTAATTCAGTTCATTGTTTGCTAATTATAGAGAAGATAAAATCATTTGTTCTGGCCTAAAATAAAAACTGTGTTTCCTTTGCAGCTCTTTGTGCAGCAAAAAGCATCGTTTTCTGATATACTCAAATTTAAAGGTTTATTTTCTATATTGTGTAAAAATACATGCAGCTCTGTTTAAAAGCAGCAGGTTCAGTGAGTTGTATCCTTCATCGTTAGGACATAATCCCATGTTCTGATCTGGTTGGAAGCAGGACGGCAGCGCCTTCTCTGTATTAATGATAACATTTAATATCTTTCAATGAGAAGCCACGAACGTGCAGATGGGTTTAAATCACACAATTATGTTTCCTCGTTAATAAAACTGTGGGAAATCTTTACTACACATCTGATAAGAAGTGAACCGGCTTCCCAGCTACAGACAGTAGGGCTGTGGACCGACACCGGCCGTCACCCACACACACACACAGCCCTGTGAAGACGCAGCAGGAGGAACTTATCGCTGCTTTTCTTTTATTTTTATGAATGACAAAGGACAAAGTCTGTAGAAATACCGTTTATTTTTCACATTTTAATCTATTTTTGTGGCAGAACAATCTGTTATGGGGTTAGAAAGAAGAAAAATGCTATTAAACTTAGTTTTTAGAAAATCTGTGACAATGTAGCAACTTATTTTAATCAAACCGTGTCACTAGTGGACAAAACTGTCTTAGAAGAGGTTGTAGATTGACCTAATGATTTCTTAATGCATGCGCACACACACCTAAATATCCAGTCAGGTTCCTTAAGTCTATGGATTCACTAACTAGAACAGTGAAAGTCTCATTTGTTTGCCTGTTTCACATTAATGTTAATGTGATAAGTTTAAAGGACACATAAGGTGTAAAATTAAAGAGCGCTGACGGCCGAGCGGCGACGCGCCCACTTTGGTTTTCAAGTTTTTATTTTTAAGCTCAGCTCAGTTTAAGCCATCAGGGTTTTGGCAGCGTCCAACGGCGCTGAACCCGTCGTGTCTTAAGGTCAGGGGTTTCAAACAAACAACACAGGAAATGAAAAAACACAAAGAGCTTTGACCTGGCGCTCACTCCCACCCCGCCTCCCACCCAAGATCGCGTGCAAAATCCAGGCTACCCAGAGTGCACCGAGGGAGCGCTCACTGCTGCACAGCCGGGCAACGTGACCTTCCCTTCCCTGCGCCAAGCAGCGATGTGGGGGCTGCCCCGCTCACTGAGCATGCCCAGTAGCATCCACAGAGTTTCGTGACAGCACTAATAGTGTGCACGGATCACTTCTAATTAGAGTTATCTCAATCTTCCACCAGGGTTTTATGTTCTTCCCTTTTGTAGAGCGCCGCTGTCTGACTGGCCCATCGAGGTGCCAGTTTCCCCGCCAGCCCCGCCCCTCAATCAGAGGCCTGGCCTTCACTCCCCCTCCCCTACCCCCTTTTGGTGCACATGAAAAAAAGAAGATAAAGAGGAAGGGGGACATCCAGACCTGCTCTTCATCCTCACCTCGTGCCTTCACCTTTTATGCGTACTTTCAGGTTTATATTCTCGTTTCCTTCCTTCCTCTTCTTCTACTCTACAGTCATCTGCCCCGAGGCACCGTCCATGAAGATCGCTGTAGGTTTTCCAGATGCACAGAAAGGATCGGCCATTTTTAACCCTCTCTCTCCATCTGACTGTGGGCCTGCAGAGCTAAGCTGCCGTGGGAGGCGGTGGGGGGCACGTCACCCAACCAGCTCTGATTGACTGAGTGGGAAAGGAAACGCTTGATCGTCCTCTGTTCAGCCGCTGCACATTAAACAGGAGAGCGGAAAAACAAACTTTTCTTTCTTTGAATCCACCTTCGTTTGTTCTTTTCATTCGGGTTAATCAATGTTTCCAACACCGACGCTCTCCTCAGTGTGAAAACACAAAAAACTTCAACCTCCAGGTCTCCAGCTTTACAAACAGGAGGTCAAAGGTCAGAGACAGCTCCACAATAGCTGCAGCAGATTTCTGCTTAAAGAGACAAGTTAAGCCAATTTAAGTGGAAGTCATGTGAATATCTGGTCCTTCTGATTTTCAAAATGGCTGTGAAATCCTCCTCGGATTTTCTCCTGACAGAACAAACATGATGATGCGAGTCACGTCCAGCTGCCTGAGGATGATCAGGAAAACAGAGACAGGACTGGTCAAAGGCTCAGCAGAGGTTTATCTGAACTTGACCAGAAATATAACCAGGCAGGAAGAGCTCAGGAGGGAAGACCAGAATCAAACTGTACCGTGACAGGCAGGCCGACACTGGACAGACAGGGAGGAGGAAAGAGACCAAATACCAAGTGAGACAGATGGCTAGCCAGTCACAGACAGAGGGACAAACAGAGGGACAGACGTGAGCAGAGATGTAAATAGACAGAGTATCAGTCTGGACACGCTCTCTGGCATTTGTGCATTTGGTCAGAGTTTAGTTTGAGTGAGGTCTTGAAAACCAGCGTCTTCATCAGGTTTAAAGATTTTTCTAGAACTAAAATTCTTAAAGGACTAGTCTGCAGATCCAGACCTAGAGAGTCGGAGCCTGGTCTCTCTCCTCCCTCTGAGCCACAGAGCTCCAGCATCCTGAAACCGGTAAACACACCGCTGCTCTGGGCGACAAGCTCCTCCATCACCATGAACACACACACACACACACACACACTAGACACCAAAGGCAGACTCATCTGCTGCTGAAAATAGCTGACTGGACAGAAGAAGACGTAACTTTGGGCTTCAGAAAACGATCATGGGCGTTTTGACCATTTTCTGGTAAATAATAATAAAAATGATTGTTTGTCACAGGCTCAAAGGGGTTAACTTAATTTAACATCAGTAAAAGTGGGACATGTCCTGAGTGAGTTCCACAGTCAATCGTTTCAAATTAGAAGTATAAAAGGTATTTAAACCAGCTCTTCCTTTATGAGCTGCAGCGTTACAGTATCCTACACGTACATTCATGTGAAACGGGCCGTTGTGCAGAATAACTCCTGCTACTGCAAGTGTGTTTTGATGATGGTACTTTTATTTGAGTAACATTTTGAATGAAGGACTTTTACTTGTCACCGCATTTCTACAGTGGTATTTCTGCTTTCACTGCGCGTCCGCGGAGCAGCAGCACAGAGGAACATTTGACTGGGCGTTTCCCACAGGACACTGACGCCTCGGTCCAACAGCGGCTGCAGACCACGGAGGTTTCCATCATCCAAACCCTCCGTGGCTTCTAGGCCTCTCTGAGTCCGCACAGCCGATTCAGCAGCGGGGCTGTTAGTTTTACTTTACCAAAAGAAAAAGGAAAGACTCCTTATCGTTTTCATTTTTGAGGTCCACCAGCGGCTGCAGACCACGGAGGTTTCCATCATCCAACCCCTCCGTGGCTTCTAGGCCTCTCTGAGTCCGCACAGCCGATTCAGCAGCGGGGCTGTTAGTTTTACTTTACCAAAAGAAAAAGGAAAGACTCCTTATCGTTTTCATTTTAATACAGGCTTTGTGACACGTGACCCGCCTCTGGGTAAAAACTGGGGCCGGTTTCGCGCTATTTCAACTAAAATGTTTAAAAAACACCACAAAGGAAAAACATCTGGATTTTTAGAAGCGCGCTACGGGAGAGGGTTCATGCTGTTTTTCAGATGAGTCTGAAGGTCGTTTAGATTTTATGGCATCCAAAATAAACTAGAAAACGTTTGGACATATTATTTATCCCTTGTGGACAAGCGCAATAAAAAGACGTTAATTCGCCATTTTGGGCCTGAAACCTCTGTCAGATTCACTTTGTGTCGGACAAAAGAAAACTCGCACATAAAAGCGTTTAGTGTAATAAAATATGGAGTTTTTTACTTTTTTATTTTGATTTATCTGCTTTGATTTGAAGCCTAGTGAGGAGCCTCCAGTTTCCACTAACGCGTTAAAACGTGCAGCAGAAACCTGTGATGGTTCAATGAACCCAGGGACCGAGATTCACAGGAGCAGGTTGAACCAGTCTGATTCTCATTCATCCTCACTGAGAGACATAAATGAAATCTGACTTGGAGAAAAACTGTGGAAATCAATCCTGAAATTAATAAAGCTTATTAAAAAACATTGCTATAAATAATATTAGCTCCTGTTGGTGAAAGGTAAAACTTTTCCAGTGTCTAAAACTGGAACTGAAATGTGAGAATATTGATTCTCTAAAACTAAAAAGTACATCACCTGCTAGAAGCAGTTTGTAAGAAGCTGTATCACTGTGAAATACTAAATAAGTCTGTAAGTAACATTAGAAACGTTTAAAAATACCTCCTGATGTTACTGATGCATGTGAAAGGTTCATTTTACTGTTTCATTTATATGAAAAAAAAAACAGATTTGTTGTTTATCATCTCATCATGTTTTATATGTAAAATCATTTTTTAGTAATTATAACTGTCAGTGCAATAATGTCACGGAGTACAAGCTACAACACTGTACACCGAGTTGTAGGATCTTTATCTTAGATGCTACACAACTGTACAACTGTTAAGTACTGTGTTAATCCTGTGCACAGCTGTGCGCTCACACATGCACAGTGCATGTGGCCTGAAGGGAAACCTCCCAGAGTCTGAATCCAGCATGAACATCGCCATTCACATGTGACTTTTATTTTGTAGGCATACAAACATGAGCCAGTTTCCTGCCTGCAGCCATGACTCAGGGTGGCATTTACCCATCACATGTGGTACCTGCATCAGTGTGCTGACGTGGAGAAGCCAGCATCAGGTTATAGTGAAACAAAAACGCAGCAATACAATAGAGGCCCTCGGTATTCTTTGGCCAAAAGTATGTGGACACCACACATATGATTAGACCAGATTCTGACCCTGCTGCTGCTCACGAGGGGACAAGGGTTCATACGACACGGGGTGCAGCCGTGGCAGGAGCCAAAAGGGTTTGTAGTTATTCTGAACCCGACATAAAAAACACACCAAAGAACATTATCAGGCCAGAAGACGAGAGCAACAGACAGCGGATCTGACACCGAGCAGCCAATCAGAAAGTGTTTGGGTGGCCATTGTAAAAGGCTTGTGTTGGAATCACACAGGAAGCCAGTGACCTATGATCAGAAAACTGGGCTCCATTAACGCAGCACCGAGGGACCACGGCTGCGTTCCAACACAGGTTGACGGGCCACTGGGGTTAGTGGTGCTAATGGGAGCAACACCGGGAGCAGCGTCTGGCCACAGCTGCACCAGCACTTTTCAATTGAACTTTAACAACTTCTCTGACAAATTCAACTGTGAATTTAAAGTTTTAATGAACAATTTCAATTTAAACTCTTAAAAAGCAGTTAGTGCAGCGCTGTGGTCGACACAGTGCCCATGTGACAACACAAGGAACACAACAGGTTTTAAACCACACGTTTTACCACAGATCATGATGCTGATTAAACCCTGGCAGAGGAGGAACCAGAGATTAGGATTACATACCACACACACTCGTGGGATCTCATAGAGCTGATCATGCATCTGGCATGAGGGAAAACCCGACCGGGCCAAATCCCTGGCGTGCTTGATGACTTGTGATGTAATCGAAGTAACGACACGGCGTGGGAAGCAGGAGCAAGAGTCTCTATGGGGCTGGAGTAGAACAGAGAGAAGCAGCAGGAGAGGAGACAAAGGAGAGGAACGAGAGGAGGACCAGGGCTGGCCGGCTACCTTGACCCCAGCTCAGGGGTCGGGTGAAGAGGTTAAGCAAACAGGTCACTGGCTTTGACAATAATCCCAGCTGGTCTGTATTTCCTCGGCCCAGATGTCAGTACGTGGCCCAGCTGCTAATTGGCAGTGTCTTCAAAGACCACTGTTGTTCCAAGGAAGCTGGGAGCCTGGACACCCCCAGTCCCCCTCACCCCTCCACCAGGCCGAACACGGTGAGCCGTGCTACTGGAGGACAACTTCTGCAGCTACTTATAAACCTCTAGACACAAACCGGCCCGTTTTGTGTCTAGTTCTTAAAGGACAGAACTACTGCTACTCACTTTGCAACAGTCTTGGCTTTAAGTCAGGGAAACAGAAGGGACAGAGGATCAGACCACAGCTAAAGCTCAGGTCTGACATCATCACCACCGCACAATTAGCAGCTGTGGCTTCTTTTACACTTTGGTCTTGGTCAGTAAAACAAGCTGAACTGAAGCACCTGATGTTCAGCTTCCCTGTTGTGCCCTTGGCCGAGGGCCGGGTCCTACCCACATGGATTCCTTCACCCTCTTCTTGTCTGAGCTCAGAACGAGGCGTCAACAGCCTGGAAGCGGGACAGTAAGCAGGCGTATCAGTGCTATGCTACGATGACCACGCTAACGTTGCACCAGGCCCCTCACCAGCACTTTCTCTCCTCAGCCACCTCCCACTTTCTTTTTAGTTTAACCACTCGCTGTCACCTCTGTCTGACTTTCTCTGGCTGCCTTTTGTTTCATAGCAGTACGCTGCATTAGATTTGACCTTTGCCTCCTATTTTCTTCCCCCAACAACTTTTTCCTCTTCCTTTCTTCATCCATCTCCCCATCCCCATCTTTGCTTAACTGGTGTCTGTTCATCTGTCTGCTGTCCGAGTAGAAGAGGGGGTTACCTCTCCCCGGATTAGGGAACCCTGTGGTTCAGTGAAGACACGAAAGACGGAGGGGGTCATACAGTGAGAGTCCAGAGACCGTTTGGACAGACTTATTAGGAAACACAGATCCTTCAGGACAGCTCTGGGGGTGCACATAAAATGAAAAGTGCCATCCATGTACTGCTCTGCATTTCCACAACCTAAAATGAGCAGCACAGTTTGACAAGGCTACAAAGAATCCCTGTGACCTACAGATGACAAACAGCAACAAGGTATTTCCCCTAAAACTGATCACAGAGGATCCAGTAGGATCGTCTGAGGTCTTCTGGTTTGTCTCCTTGTGTAATCAAATCTAGAGGTAACTCTGACCTGTGAGCCGAAAGTCTCGCCATCTTCGTGCATTGATCCAGGGTTGTCCTGGGAGGGGCGGTGGCCACGCCTGCTCAGACCTCTGTTTGGCCCATCTCCTGCTCCTGTCCAAAACAAGCCCTTAGTTCTGCCCTGTTAGAAGAAAAGAACCCAGATTAAAGGTTCATTCTGACATGAGACAGATACTGTGCATTAAAAGTTTAGGTTCTGATAAATAAAATGAAGAACTGATCCTGAAAGTCTTTTTTAATGCAGACACATTTGAAAATACATGTCGTTCTCTCCGCTTTGCCTTTCACTCACTCACGATGACCACGAGGCAGACCACCTTAATGTGAAGTCTGTAGTAAAGATCTTGCTGTTCAAGTAAGCAGTACTTCAAAATAAGAGTCCTGTGCCAGAAATGTGCTGCACGTCGTTTCCACTGAAACAAGAGAAACAGGAGCTTTTACTCTAAGTTCAGGGTCTTCACGGGTCCAAAAAGTGGCACCTGATTTGAAGCAGACAGTGGAAAACCGAACCAAAGCCAACAAGACGTGATTTGTATAGACTCGAGCTGTAATTCGAGCCGATCCATAGTTGGTATTTTCATCTGAGATGCCTTCTAATGAGCAGCAGCTATGCTCTTGTCCCTGAGTTTTGCCTCTCAGGCGACATGCAACCCGTTTATGTTGACATGCTAGAACTGAACATTCAAGGCAAAACAGTAGAGCAAAGCGGCCTCTGCAGTAAAGATGCATTAATATTTATCAAAGACCTGAGTCTCTCTAAAGGAAATTAAAAGTGTTTGTTGCTGGATTGTTTTGCTGTATGTACATAACGAAGTGTGCAAGAAACAGATCGCGACTCAACATGAATTATGTCCAACAACGTTGAGATGAAACAGAAGTATCACTTTTAATGAATAAATCAAAATATCTCCTGAACACTTCAGTCTTTATTTCATCTGGCCGTTTACACACTTGCAATCACTGGCAATTAACCCAGGGTCCACTTTTGGACCATGAGCCACCCGTTGGGAACCCCTGGTATAGAGGATTGGATTCCTATGTTCCCTTTTATGAAAATGTTTACAGTTAACTGAGCTGGACAAGCTTGGTTCAGGCCTCTGATGATAATCAGGATTTGACACACACTCAACAATAAACTAATACACACACACACACACGTGCGCGCGCTGTCAGTTGGTCTGTAGATGGTTTGGCCTCCATCCTGCTTCCACTCGTCTTCCTCATTTCCATAAAAGTGACTTCACCCCTGGCTGTGTGTTGATGGTCTGTTAAGAAGCGATGAATCTCTGCTGCCGTGGCTCCAACACGCACACGATGTCCCGTTTCCAGGAAAACTGCTGAGTGACGTTAACCGCTGTTCAAACAGAACCAGGCTGAGTGAAACCAGCCAAGGCCCAGTGTGTCTTCCACATGCAGACAGAGTCACACAGATGTTTTCTTTGCATATTCCTGGGTAGGGGCGTATACAGTATGTGAAAGGGGCTGCAGTGCCCTGTCCAGGTTGCACCCCCCCCTCACCCAGTGCCGGCTGGGATCGGCTCTGGGCCCCTGCAGCCCTCTACAGGGTGAACAGAGTAGACAATGGATGGATGCTCCCTGCTACTTTAAGATGTTAGCATGCTAACATTAGCATTTAGTCCAGCTGGGAGTCCTGCAGCTATAAACCAAAGTATTGATGCTGGATTTAAAAGATCATCAAAGTTGTTGATACTCAGACCTACTGGCAGACCATCTGAAACTGCCCTGCTGCAGCCCCGTCTCCTGGGAACAACTAATATGAAACAGCAAATATATTCAGAGGAAACAGGATTGTGACCAGGCGACGTCCTCGACACAATAATAAGGAAATGTTAATTTATATTTTTGGCATGTTGCACATGTTGACAGTGAACATAACAGTAAAACATCCACTGACAACTTGTTTTCCACCAAACATCTGACATCCACATGTGGCACCTTTAAACCGTTCCTGGTTCTGTCTGGATTCTCGCTGATCTTTAAGGTTAGAAATAAAAATCCTGGTCTGTTTTAATACAGAAAATGTCCACAGTGACTTGACGCTCAATGCGTTTATTGATGTTTATCGTTACCAGTGGCCTGTTTTCTACCGTTATAAAAATTCCAATGCTACATAATGTTTTACCTTCACTGTTTCCACGACACAGAGTGTTGGTGAGGGCTTTAGTGTACATGGTCCCCAGTTAATGGACCCTTATCACATCTTTCACAACAGTGACACAGAAGTTGACAGGTGACTGACTTCCTGTTAAATCAAACTGTCTATTGGTAAAAGTGTGTTTGTTGTGTGGGCCTTTATGTTGCAGTGACAGAGGAGGAGAAACTGTCCCTCTAAACCATCATGGCTTCTGTTTGCTGCTGAACTGTCCCAGTCGCTCATCGTTCCTCATCATGTCCTTAAAACCAGCAGAGAACATTGTGTTCTCTGGTTTGTTCGTGACTTTATCCGCTGCAGCCTTACTCTCCATCTGACCGGTAGCACGTCAGAGGGGCTTTAAGCTGTTAACCCTGCCGACTGTGCTTAAGGACCTCCTGCTACCGGATCTGTCTCAGCTGCTTCATACAGCAGTAACCCAGACGGGAGCTACGCTCACGACCCGACCAGCTCGTCCACTGAAACAAGTGCCACTTTCTCCCAGAGGGTTTTATCTTTCCTCCGTCACAGCTGAACGGCCTCCCTGCACCAGGTTCAGGTTCAGGGTCTGGGCCTCAGTGCACATTAATGCCTGACCTCCTGGGTGCAAATAGCACAGACACACATCTGGATCACAGGCTGTATGTTTAAAAAACACACGTGCACAGAGTTCAGTGCATGTGCGTACAGCCGAGTCTATTCTGCTGCTTAAGGCCCTGCCTGTGTGGGCTCTGAATCGGGCTTGATGACTGTGCAGTTGTGCACAACAGCAGGTACCTGCACTTTATGATAAAGTCACTAAAAACTGTTACTGTGAAATGTAAAAAGTAATGAAATCACCCAAATGATCCCGACACTGCTGGGTTTATTCGGCCACCAATCAAAAACCAAAAACCTGATGTAGAAGCAACAAATCGTCATGTTTGACAAGTTGGACTCGATTATTATTATGCCAGTTAATGTTCTTTCAGCTGATTCATCAATGAACTGCTGCAGCGCCACATAAAAACTTTACAGGTCCTTAAACACACTTTAATCAGGACAGGAGCCACTGCTATTGTTCTTTTATTGTGTAGGTCTTCATTTGGCCTACAACCACAAAACCAGAGCCCATTGGCGTCTTCAGCTTGTTGGTACAAAGACCGCTAACAGAACAGGACGCGCCTTTCCACACAATACATGACACAGATAATTAGCACTTGGCCATCTAATCGATATAAATGAGCCAGTCTACATGACCATCACCTCAGCCTCCGTTTACCAGTCACTCCATCAGTAGCTGAACGTTCAAACGTCTTCTCATCCACACTGGCTCCGAAGCCTATAGCTTCTAGGTTTGTTCGTGACTTTGCAAAGTGTAATTGAGGCAGAGCCCGAGTGTTTCCAGCCCCCCCTCAGGGACTCACTGTGGTTTACTGATCAGGATTTTATAAGCTGTTTTCAATAAACATTTTCCAACAGCTCTCGCTTTGTAATGCGTCCAGTGCGTCTGCGGCCTGAACTGACCATCGAGCATCGCAGTTTCTCTCGGGTGTAATTACAGTTGAGTTTGCAGAACGACGGTCTCTGGTTACACAGTTCTGCAGGAAGCGAGGCAGCAACTAATCAGCTGTAATACAGGAAAGATTAAAGGCTGCTGGAGATCTCTATGGCCAGTGGAAACCACGGCCTTTAACAAGAACTCACCAGCTGAACGTCGGCCTGTTGGCTGCTAACATCAACTGAGAAGGTTTCCTGTCATATTACAGATTTTAAATGATGAAGGTGGAACGAAAGTGAATCTAATAAGGTCCAGGTGTTTAAATAACATGTAGATAATTCAAATTTTCTAATGTATGTATTTCAGATCAGCTCAAGCCCAGCTGAGCCCATACAGAGTTAAGGCTGTAAGATGTTTTAGCTGCCAGGCTGTCACCTGAGAAGCAGCACTTCCTGTCCACTTGCACCATTTCCTTACGTGAACTACATCCATAACTCTACTTGAGTCAAAGTCTAATAAACTGAAAGGACCTAAAAAGAGTGAAACGGTCCTTGATTCATCTTTACAGATCAAGTAAATAACTGTGTGACATTGAACTGTTATCATTTGATAAAAGGAACATGCATCTACACCTGAGCGGTGCTGAAGCTGGACTACAGCAGGAGAAGGAGCACCATGAGCCTCTTCTACAGGGAACCAGCCTGGGTGGTTTCTGACACAGTAACTTACACCTGGCAAAGACAAAAGTCTTGAGACGAGGCTTCTACTTCGGTCTCATCCTGCAGATGCAACTTTGCATTTGTCGCCGTTTCCTTGAAACATTTGAAACTATAAAACACCACATCACAGAAACCTGACTGTGATGATTTCATGGCTTGATGATGAGACATTAAGTTGAACTAATGACGCCTGGTAAAAATATGTTGCAAATGGATGCATTTATTTAAATGGTAACTGACGACTCATCAGAGGAAGAGGGTGCGTTCACTGATAATCAGGCATCTGGAAACTATGACAATCAGAGAGCAGGAAGAGCTCAATCAATGAGACGAGACACGCACAGACACGCATGCACGCTCAGCATACATGTAAACACAAAGTATTAATATGCAAGAAGAACAAACAGACACAGAAGCACAGGATGTTTAATCATACACATAAATGCCACTCGGGTAATAATGTTCACACACACCTAGTGTTCAGTAAGAGGTATCACTGCAGTATGAAGAGACACAAACACACACAGACTGTGTGGAAACAGTGACTCCCCATCTGCTTTACAATCACAGCTCATCATACTTCAGTCCTGGTGGTTAATAATCATAGTGAGCGGCAGCAGATGAGTTTCACAGACCGGGTCACATGATCACAGACTCAAACAAACCACATTAACCAGCAGTTATAACAAACACACAGAGGATCACTGCTGACCCCTCACACCCCAGACACAATCTGTTTGAACTCCTCCCCTCTGGACGGCGTTACAGGTCACTGTGCACCAAGACAACCAGGTACAGGGACAGTTTCTTCCCCCAGGCTGTCGCTCTGATGAACACTTAACCCACGATAGTATGATTGGACAATAACCCTCAGTGCAATACCTGTAAATATACCTGGTACAGATCATACAGACTCATAGAGGTCTCTAGTTTTAAGTTCTCTGTTTTTATTCCTATTTATCTCATTTCAATGAGCATTCCCTTGTCTGTCTGCATTGTTTACTGTCTGTTTACACTATTTATTTTGCACTGTTTGTTTCTGTTAATACAGCTTATTTTGTTATACTACACAGCCTTATGCTGGTTTACTGTCTACTTGCCCTTTGCATGGGGATATGTACATACACATTGAGAGCCGATGTACCAGAGGCAAATTCCTCGTGTGTCCGACACACCTGGCCAATAAACTGATTCTGATTCTGAAATAGCAGATGTGTGATAAAAGCAGCTGCAGGGTGAGTCTGATTCATATGATCATAAAAAGCACTTTAAAATGCATGAAGCTGCATAAATAAAATGTTTGGTTGATAACGGGAGAGCAAAGAGTAAAAAAACTAAAATAGTTCTACTACACAATCTCTCCAATACTCACTTTATGTCAAACATGGGAAACTGGATTCATGTAACACACTTCGAAGGGAACTGTCTGTTGGTGCCAACAACTAGAGCTGTGACGACACACTAAGCTCACAAGACGACAGTATTCTAACACTATTTATAAGAAATATTCAATGACAAAATACATGACTGCTTTTCCAGTCTCCTATTTGAAAGTCAGAAAACGCCAAACAGCGCACGTGCATATAGAAATGTTTTAACTAATCATCTCGTAATGAAAGTCACCTCAGTTCTACTTCCTGAGTGTGAATCATCACATGCAGTAAAATAATGTGCAAACACTGTAAAGTGGCCACAGACTCAGCTGACTGGCTTCTCTCCTGTACAGTGGTGTGAAAAAGTGTTTGCCCCCTTACTGATTTCTTATCTTTTTGCATGTTTGTCACACTGTAATGTTTCAGATTGTCAAACAAATTTATATATTAGTCAAAGATAACACAAGTAAACACATCATGCAGTTTTTAAATGAAGGTTTTTATTATTAAGGGAAAACAAAATCCAAAACTACAAAGCCCTGTGTGAACAAGTGTTTGCCCCCTAAACCTAATAACTGGTTGGGCCACCCTTAGCAGCAACAACTGCAATCAAGCGTTTTCGATAACTTGCCATGAGTCTTCCACAGCGCTGTGGAGGAATTTTGGCCCACTCATCTTGGCAGAATGGTTGTAAGTCAGCCACATTGGAGGGTTTTCGGGCATGAACCGCCTTTTTAAGGTCATGCCACAGCATCTCAATTGGATTCAGGTCAGGACTTTGACTAGGCCACTCCAAAGTCTTCATTTTGGTTTTCTTTAGCCATTCAGAAGTGGACTTGCTGGTGTGCTTTGGATCATTGTCCTGCTGCAGAACCCAAGTTCGCTTCAGCTTGAGGTCAAACGGATGGCCGGACATTCTCCTCCAGGATATTTTGGTACACAGCAGAATTCATGGTTCCACTTATCACAGCATGTCTTCCAGGGCCTGAAGCAGCAAAACAGCCCCAGACCATCACACTACCACCACCATATTTTACTGTTGGTATGATGTTCTTTTTCTGAGCTCAGCAGTGGTTTTTGTCTTGGAACTCTGCCATGCAAACCATTTTTGCCCAGTCTCTTTCTTATGGTGGAGTCATGAACACTCACCTTAACTGAGGCAAGTGAGGCCTGCAGTTCTTTGGATGTTGTTGTGGGGTCTTTTGTGACCTCTTGGATGAGTTGTCGCTGTGCTCTTGGGGTAATTTTGGTCGGCCGGCCACTCCTGGGAAGGTTCTCCACTGTTCCATGTTTTCGCCATTTGTGGATAATGGCTCTCACTGTGGTTCGCTGCCGTCCCAAAGCTTTAGAAATGGCTTTATAACCTTTTCCGGACTGATAGAGCTCCATTATTCTCTTTCTCATTTGTTTTTGAATTTCTTTGGATCTCGGCATGATGTCTAGCTTTTGAGGATCTTTTGGTCTACTTCACTTTGTCAGGCAGGTCCTATTTAAGTGATTTCTTGATTGCGAACAGGTGTGGCAAGAGAAATTGAACTCAGGTGCGATAAACCAGTGTTTTGACAGGGGGGCAAACACTTGTTCACACAGGGCTCTATAGTTTTGGATTTTGTTTTCCCTTAATAATAAAAACCTTCATTTAAAAACTGCATGATGTGTTTACTTGTGTTATCTTTGACTAATATATAAATTTGTTTGACGATCTGAAACATTACAGTGTGACAAACATGCAAAAAGATAAGAAATCAGTAAGGGGGCAAACACTTTTTCACACCACTGTAGGACTTCATGAGTCTCTTCAGACCATAGAGCTGTGCACAAACTGTGCATGAGCTTCTAACTTCTAACTGAAGCCGTGTGTGACCTTCTATGCTGTTTTCACCCTCACCAGCAAAGACTTACACCTGGACCAGGACTGTGTGTGTGTGTGTGATTTAAACATACAGATATGCTTCTGTTCCTCCTGGTTGACACCAAAATAATGAAATACAAATCTTTTTAGACACAAACCCGCTTAAATCCTGCACAGAGAGAAGGATGTTTCTTTATTTTCTTCACAGCAGGAACATTGTGGACTCGCCCTGTACTGGAAACATCAGACCTCGTGTTAAAACTAATTATTTCTACTTTTGGTCCAGTGTGTGGCATTGATTGTGTTACTGCCATATTCCTTCACCAACAGTGAAGACAAATGAGCATGAAGTGACAATAAAACCAGTGATTTTAAAGTCCAAACAGTGCATGTGGTGTCTCGGTTGTTCATCCCTCTGTAGCTGGGACTCTACCGCCCCCTTGATGGCCCACGCTGCACAGCTCCAACACACACATTCTGATGCATTCACACACTCTCCTGTGTGTAGACAAAGCGGTAAACATGGGGCCTGAACCACACAACCCATAAAGTGTCACACATCATGCTTTTATTCTGAAACCTCCACAAACCACAACTGAGACTTTACCTGTTGCCAGAAAAGCACCCGCTGCATCCGATTACCTGTCGAAACGTTAGTTCTCAGGTCATTTGTCTGAGCTTTATGCTGTGATTTGCAGTTAACTGCTGAGGTGAAGAGAGTACTCAAGTAAAAGTACTGTTACTTTAAGGACCCTTCCTACGGCCTCAGTACAAGAAGTAGCCAGAGGCAGGACAAAACTTAGACAAGTCAATACAAATGACCAGCAGTAAATAAAAAGTGTGACACCTTCACAAAGAAGGTTATGGAGGCTGGACTTTGCCTCGGAACAACATTTTATACCGTATAGTCTACATGACTTAGGCTAGTTGGAAGAGCACGGCCACAGAGCCGCAGCAGGCCGAAGCAGCGCGGACACAGTCACACCCGTCCGCGGCTGTGCTCACCTGTCTGCCGTGCTCACCTGTCTGAAGAGCTGATGTCAGCTCGGCTCTGCTGACACGTCCGTCCGCCTGTGTCCTTGTGCTCCTCGCGGGTTTTTGTCGCACACAGTAGACAGGTGCTGCATTAAGTGAATGCGTTGGAAGGTAAACGTTGCATCCCAAGACTCAGGAGGAGGCAGAGGTAACGTGGCTGTTACTTTCAGATTAAAGTATGAGAAAACTCATTTTCTTCTTCTGTTGTTTAATGGTTGGAAACAAACACATTTCTTCTAGAAGATCCATCACGCAGCTGTTGGTCACGTGACATAGCAGTTTGTCCAAGTACCCCTGGCTCTTGGCAGTAGCCACAGTCCTCCTACAGGACCAGGTCATGACCCCCAGACGTTCACCAACACCACAGGTGGACTTCCTGCAGCCTTCTAGACAAACAGCAGGTGCAGATTGTATCAGAATTTGCTGACACATTTAAGTAACGCCTGGAATGCAGGACTTCTACTGGTAAAAGTATTTGTACACAGCAGTATTCCTACTTTTACTGAAGTAAAGGATTTGAGTACTTCTTCCACCACTGGGGCTCATTTACTTTTGCCTGCCGCTGTGTACTGTACCATGTGACCTCTAGTGGCCCTAACAGTTATGATACAAGCAAAGTCAGGTAGTTTATAAAACAGTCAGCGGCTATTATCAGTCCCAGCCCGAACACCTGAGGCGAGTGACGGCTGATGTCAAGTCTGTACATTCCAAGAAAACATTTATTTGCTTTTGCTCTGAGGAAAGAGACTCTGACACACACAGTCCACTTTCATCATCTTCCCTCTGCACGTAAGCAAACAGCGGCCGACCTTCACATGTTCCCTTTTCTGACCGCCGGGCTGTGTTTACCCCTTCTCTCCATCCTCACACCACCACCCTTCTCAGCCCTCTGGCACTTTGCTGTTGTATGGAAACACAGCTAACCCTGCTGCCCTCTGAGCGGTCCTGTTAAACCAGCCAACCATCTGTCCACCCACCCACAGTCGATACAGCACCTACTGTTCATGAGCCTCGCTCTCTCACACACACCGGGGCTACCGCACTGAACATCCAGACGTCTTTGTGATTGAAACGCGTTGGAAACAAACTCTTCTTGCCTGTCACCTGAGTTTTACAGAGCTGCTCAGTGCACCGCTCAGACAAATGGCAGGATTCAAACAGAAACATGTTGAACAGATCAGATTCCTGCATCGAGATCATTAGAAACGTTCAAACAAAACACCTGTGTGAAAACAGACACTGGGCCCGAGTGTGTGTTCCATCACAACACAACAGCCTTGTGCAGAGGCCATAGGCAGATGGAGTGTGTTGTTGGTAGGATGTCAGACACACACACACACACACACCATTTCCCTGATTACCACTCTGACTCCAAGTGTTTCTGGTTGAACTCTGTGGATTAGGTCGCCGACTTTAACGTTCCCTCGGGGCTCAGTGTGTGTGTGTGTGTGTGTGTGTGTGTGTGTGTTGGATTAGTCTCCAGTTGAAATGTGAGGTCTGATCTAATCTGCAGGTTGCTGTAAACAGATGCAGTGATCCCACCGTCTGAACACAGTGTTCACCGCAAGTGTGACACACACACGCAGAAGATTAACACATCTTCGTCCTACTGATGGTGACAGAGTACACACAGACAGTATTAGTGACATGATTACTTCTATGTCCATTGGGCAACTCGTCAGTGATGTCACAGGCCCCGCCCACTTTGTTTTCTGCTCCAATTAGCCAAACTCAGGCACTGTGACCTCATGACCTCTGGTGTCAGCGACACTGCTGCCAGGACCAAAAAGCATTAATACTAATGCATCAAAAAGTACATTAGTATTTGTACAAATGTATTTATACTTGTTTCCACATACTCCCACACTCCTGTTGAACCTGTCATAAGGAAAGGGGAAGAAGAAGAAGAGGCCATTCCCCGGAAATATCAGGATCCCAAATCCCTGTATTCAACCACTTCATCCAGTACCTGAGTGAATGTGCTTCCTCATTTACCAGCTTTGTAAATGAAGCTGGATCTTTACACCAAATGCTGCCAGGTCAGAAGTTTATGAGGCCATATCAGGATACGATGAGGTTTCCCATGATGCCTTGAGGGAGCGAGGACACGCTGCAGGGAGCAGAAAGCCTCATCGCACATTAATGCTGATCTACAGTGACACCTGGAAGAGCAAATGGATGTCAGAGAGGCCGCAGAAGAACTGAGGGTTTTTCTGAGGAGACTGAAAACAGACAATATCAGAGAGCTGAAGGGCCGAGAAGGCGTCTCTCCCATGTTTTAATCATGGCGTTGCTTCATTTGTCACTGTGGAAGGCGAGGCTGGAAAACAGAGGAACATCTCGCTCCAGACTGGGAAAAATCCAGCAAAACCAGCCAACTCAGGCCACGGTCCTGACCTGGTCAACAGATCGTATGGCAGCACACAAACTCAGATACAATAATTAAAACAAAACAACAATAAATAGCAACAGTTCAGCTCTGTAGCAGGCGGCCATGTTTTTCACCCCACGAAAACCAAGATCAGGGACGATGCAGATCCATCTTTTGACTTCCAGCACCAGAAAACCGACCGACACAGCATCCTGTTCAAAAGCAGAACTGGAAGATGATTAAACAGAGGAACAAAGGCTGCAGAGCAACTTTTATAACCTGTTTTTAATAACCACATCCCGGTCGTCCTTTCAAATAAACATGAAACAAGTCTCATTAGGGCTGAGTGTCACTGGACGTTTGCTCTGAGAGAACATTTCTTTGACACCTCAGTGCAGCTCCCTGTTCTGGAGAAGCAGTGGGTTTGACTCCTCAGCTACCGATGTACCAATCTGACATGACTCTGCAAACCAGAAACCTGGGTGAGAGGATGGATTTACTATCCTGTGACACTCAGCCAGAGCTCAGATTAAAAAGAATAATAATAAGAAACCCTTATGAAAGCATTCATATCCCAGTAGAGGACAAAGAAAGGTCCTTTTAATGAAAATCACAAACTGTATAAATCAGTTTCCCTCCTCGCTCCACATTCCATCATGTTGTGACCGTTGTGATTAAGTGCGATCCAAGAGGACGGGCTGTGGACAGACCTCACCGAGGAAACGCACTCGTGTGCTGTTAAGATTCAGTCGATGGATTATTTGCCAGGTAGACACGTACGCAGAGCTGGAACAACTCAATTGGCAACTTGACAATTTATCTGCAATAAATATGATAATTAGGTGTTTAAATAAAACTAACAAAAACTGTTAGTTTCTCAGATGTAAAGATTTGCCACTTTTCTTATTTTCTTAACTCTATAATCAGAGAACAAACTGAAAGTATAAGAATAATTGTTGGTAGAAGTTCTAATACAGATTCGATCGTTCTGTTGTTCACTGCCGTCTGCAGCAGCAGTTCTGTGGTCAAACCTAAGAGCGAAGACAAACATGGTTTCATCCCAAAACAAATTTCAATCGAGTAGAAAAAAAAACGTACAGATTTGTAAGTTATAAATAAAAAAGGCCTGGAATGAAACCACAACAAAAACAAACCAAAGACTTTTACTTACCAATGAAAACACTCGTGTTCTGCTTTAAAATGCCCATAAAACACTCAGATCAACTGTTTCAGCTGATTACAGTCGACTAGGAGTTTTTAAATTTAAAAAAATCCTCCTCCTATTTCAGTAAGCTGATTAAATTCACCAAAACCCTTTTAATGTCACCACTGACCTTTGACCTCTTTAATACTGGCTGCTTTCAATGTTGGTAGTGGAGGAGGAGCTTCATACGTTTCTACTATTAGTGTCCTTGAAATGTCTTCATTTCAAAAGTAAAGCCGGATTCTGATTCAACTCGAGACTTTATTTCCTCTGGGAATGTTGTTCAGCCACGCTTGTGGAGAAGTTTCCCCACAGCCCTTCATGCCACAAAATAACCAAAAAATACTGAAACCCTCACCGTCTGTCCCATAGAGGTGATGTTTCCCGAAGTCCTACAGGGAAAAAAGACTCAAACATACCAAATCCAGCCACAGTCGACATCTTGGTCCCCACAGCAGCTAAATAAATATCACAAGTCACAGTCAAACCCCTCTTGTGTTTCTGTACATTGTGTCTGCTGTCCAGCCTGGGCAGGAAATAAATCTCATATCTGAACCGAGATGACCACATGACTCAACCTATCACCTCAGGGTTTGGTTCAAGGACACGACAGGTGCAGTCAGGGTCGGTACTGTCTGTACTGCGACTGTGAAGCCAGAGGGCTGCTGGTTCCAAACCGGGGCGGTGCTACTGACTCTCCAAAGGCAGTTCTGTAACTCTGAGAGGATGTCACCCCGCTCCCACTCACACCAAGTCCAAACCCAGCACCTAGACCCTGCACACCGAGGCCCGGGCCGCCAGCGGGCCGTGCCAGACCCTGACTCAGCATCCCTGTGTAGGCAGACCCCCCATAGGCAAGTCCCAGGCCGCCGTAGGGCCTGTGGGCATGATGTCCCGCAGCAGGCAGCACCACCGGCTGCATGTTCCTCCCCGGCGTGTTGAAGGCAAACTCTGGAGGGGGGCTGCTGGCCTTGGAGGGCGTGGAGGTCAGCGGGTCCAGCTCAGTTCCTGAGGAAAGCAACAGAGGAGGCAGGGAGGAGGGGGAGAGGGCGGCATAGCCCTCAGCAGGGCCCAGAGGGGGAGCAGCGGAGGAGGACAGGGCACCACTGAGGAGGGGTCTGGTCCAGTCATCTTTGAAGAGCTGGATAGTCAGCGTGGAGACGAGCGGCAGCAGGCGGTTGGTGACGTGAGCCAGGACCAGCTGCTCGTTGGCATCACGGCGGATACGAACATGAGCGGAGCCGGCCTGAAAGTGTGGGGGTGGGGGGAGGTGATTAGTACATTTAGGTACTTTCAAGGAAATAAGTGCTTTACAAAACAAGTCAGACAAGACAGTTTATGGTTAGTTTAGACAGAGTCTGTCCCATAAATGAAAAACTGAGATGGATTTTCTGTTGGTGAGCACAAACATCACTGTCCTGTAAGGACTGTGAAGACGAGCCCTATAGCTTTTCAGGATGTTCTAATTCTGTACCTGTGGCAGCAGATGCTTCTGCAAGCACCTGGGCCTGACGATGAGTTCTACAGATGACATTTGAAACAATCAGGTTCAATCAAATCAAATTTGGGACAGAATATGATATTTGTTGATGCTAAATCAAAATGTTGCTGGATTAAACTGTGGAAGCCTTGCTGGCCAGCTACACCCTCAGCACCCCCTGCCGACCGAGGAGGAGAAAAGGAGCTTTTGGGTTCAGGTGATTTATTGGATAAATTGATTATATGATCAGGATTTATGTGTGTTCATGGTTAACAGGTTGACATGTTTCTTCCTGTCAACAAATCCTTTTGCAAAGGCTCAACAATGTGTCGGCCTGTCTTTTCACTTCCCTA